TCGTCGATGGAATTGTCTGATAGTATGTCCGCTGTCGTTTTGATGATAGATGATTTTGAGCAGGCCATTCGAGTTTTGTGCTTTGACGAAAGCTGAGATGTCGTACAGATACCTAGGAAGCAGAGATTCAGGTCTAAACACGGCAGGATCTCAGACTCACACAACTCACGTTTGAAGGCTTCCCAACTCTTTACCTGACTTGGACTCCGATAACTTCTCTGCGCGATATTCCCCGTCCAGAATTTGCAATAGATGAGCGATAGCTTCTGTCAAGATAGTTAGCTGCTGTTTCACTGGCAGCGCCGCTTGAGCCCCCTCCCAAACGAGTTTGAAAACTACAAATGCTGCCCGCAAGGCCGAAACTGGGGTCAGGTTAAGGCAAACTGCAACAATATCTGTTGCTTTTGGTGCCATTTGTAGAGGTTAGAGCTGTGTTGATGCGTTCAGCGGTAAAGTCGGGGTTAGGTGTGAGTGTGCCTGTTGGTTGATGTGGGTTACGACAGTTTCAGATGCCACAATGTTAATCGCCGGGCATGAACTTTCTCGTCCAACAGGTTGGCGGCAGTGAGAATTCGCCGTGTGTGGAAAGCATGCAAATATTGAGATTTTTCATTGGGATTGGGAGGATGAAAATTTGGATATCATGGTTGTGTGAAGTTGAGAGACGGCGTGAGTACAACTTCGGCTCTTGGCGCCGGTTTAGACATTGCACATGAATTGGTGAAACAAAGCGGGAACAAAAAAAAAACTACAAGGTCTCTGGAAATTATCTAGCTGGCCCTCATTCGATTTGGTAAACGTCCATCAAGCTAGCCGGATGATTGGAGCCTTTCGGTGGTTTCACAATTAACTCAGCTTGTTGTCTACCAGCACAAATGAATGAGTGAAAAGAAGGAGCATACCACTGACACTTACAATTTCATGCGCAGCAGAAGTTTCCTGTTAGTAGACTCAATCTCAGCCCCTGCTTTGATCGCGCGAGCGAAAAGTTCGGCGCGATAGTCGGTCTTCTTCGCCAACAGGATCTGCAATCATGATGAGCTGGAAATCGGTCCCATAATGCAATGTACGGACCTTATTTTGGCTATCCACTCGCCCTTGGATGGCCCCAGATTGGATGAGGTTGACAACATGATGCTCGACTTCCTCGATCGTCCAGCCGAAGGCAATACTCATCCGTTCAAGCTTGATACTTGCGAATGGCTGGAAATAGAGGACCACTGCCCAATTCCTAATCGAGTTCGCAAGCTCGTTGACATGAGTAGAGAGATGGATATCGACGTAATGCCGGGTCTACAAAGATGTGAAATTAAGCGTCTCAAAAAATATTGTGGACCAGCATACCGAGTACTTCGCAAGGAGCTCCAGAACGTTCTTGAAGTTGCTACTCATGTACGATTCGATGAGTTCGCGTACATAAGGTTCCTGCTCAATGTAGACTCCGAAGACAGAATTCTCAAGGATCCTGGTTTTGATTTGAGACCTTTTCAAACTGGCCAAAGCACACAATGTTCCATAGATTGCGATATCGCCAGGTGCAACTAGCTGGAAAGGAGTCAGACCATGTTATTTAAGATGCAGTATCAAAGTAAGATACCTTTCCTACCCAATCGCCAAGCTCTTTGGTTGAACCGATTTTCAAAAATGCGTTGGCAGCTTTTTCGTAGTTGCTTTGTCCCAGATGTGATAATGCGGTCGCGAGATCGAGTTTCGCTTGGACGCTTTCACGTTCAGATGGCTTTTTCTTTGTTGAAGTAGCAGGGACCGCAGCACCACCTGCCGAGTTATTGGCTGCGGCATTGCTTGCTGCTGCTGCCGTAGCATCCAATGCAGCTTCAGCTTTGAAAACGTACGTTGTTAAGTGTGAGTAGTTCCTTTGTTCGATAAGAAGCTGCCCATGAAGGATGAATACGAGACAACCGCAGTATATCAAGCACGCACTTCCAGAATTGACATGCACATCTCAAGTACGTGTTGGCTGGTTGTACAGAACTCCCGAGATTTAGTGTAATGCTTCAGGGCAGTGCCATAATCGCCTGTAGCGCGGTAGAAATCAGCCAAATCACGATGTGCCATCTACAAAAGGACGAGGATTCTAATTAATCACAACGACAGAAATGAGAATCTAGTAGAACGCACCCTTATGCTTTCCTTAATCATGTTGTTACTATAAGTCTTCAATTCCACCTCGAGTTTGGCACGATCAGCCTGGTTTTTCATGATAGCTTCATCCGCCCACTTCGTGTCCAATTCTGCCAATTCCATTGGGTTTGGGAAAGAACCTCCTTCCGCATACGAAGCAGCTTGTTCGTATACCTGCAGAAGGTTCTGGTACATGGCCGGATCTCTAGATTGATGAATGTGCTGCACACATAGCTGGAACGCTTCAGGCGCTATCGTTGGACAAGTCAGCACGATATGGATGAGTCTGTCAATCGCAGTGCGTCCTGATGTATTTCGTTACTTTGTGACGATGTAGTACTCCAAAGTCGACTACAACATACCAGAGTAGTTGGAAATGTAGCTATCGAGATCAAAGGGATGTGCCTCGTCCACTGGCGCTATGATCCTTTTTGGCGCAGCAAACGAGCTGCTTCCTGGTAAATTATCTTCAACGCGGTCGATATCCATGAGAAAATGTTAAAAAGTAGGCGGATGGACGAAGAACAAACTGACGCGTCGACGCGCTTGTTGTGGTTTGGTGGAAGGCAAGTTAATCGAGCCATCAATCAACAGGGGTCGTGTACGAGTTTGTGACTCAGTGTCTCTCAGTGTGTTCATAACATCCGCGAGGTTTACCATAGAGGTCTGGCTGTAGATCTACAGTATAATACACTAGAATGCTGTCTATTCAAATCGCTTCCATGCATGTTTTTCGTATTCGATATATCGATGTCTCCTTTTCTTGGGCCTTGATACACATAGTTTGTTCAGTTCGAATCCCAGCAAAAAAAATAGTGACTTACATGACGCGGGCGCGAGGCTCTATCAGTGCCCTTTGCTGCATACTGAGGAACCGATCACGGAAAAGATTGCCTTCGGGCTGAAAGAGAGTACTTCAATATACGCCACAGGAAAGTAACTGAAAAGAGCGTACTTTCAATCCTCTCAGATTCTCGGTCAGATCCTCGCCCAACTGCACATCAATGCTACTGTCTGGTATTTTATGTTTGCCCAGCTTCTGACCAACCAGTCCTTGCTTCTGGAGCTTCTGGAAATTCATCAGTCGCCTGTGTTGTCGTCGCTCTTCTTGCTCGGTGAGCAATCTCGTGGTTGCCCGCTTGAAGATTTTGGCGTCGCTGACAGAAGCAAGTAGACGTTTTCTTTCCGCTTTTTGAGCTAGCGTTCGTTTCTATAAATGAAACATGAGTATCTTGGATAAAGCTAATTCAACCGACGGACCTCTTCCAGCAGTTTCGAGGCTTTATGACGTTGGCTCTTGGTTTTCCTTGTTGAAGCAGCTTTTACTATCGTTTCTTGATCGACAGCGCTGGTATCTTCATCTTCATCGTCTACCTTCTGTACTGTCATACCCTTAGCGACGCCCAGGTTCTGTTCGTCTTCCTCGATCCTAGCCGCTGCCATCTTTGTCCTAACTTCAGCCAACTTTTCGGCGTCCTGGACACGTTTTTCTTCAACAGAAGCTGCCTTTAAGAGCAGTTCGTGGTGAGCTAGGACGGGAGGATTGTACGATGTGCCTTGGTGAGGCTCGACGACAGCAGGAATATCAATTAGGTCAGTGGTCTTGGCTACAACTGGGGCCTGAAAGAGAGGCTTAGAGAAGGATCAAAATATGGTATAAAGTAAAATACCTTTGGCATCCTTTTCTCGACGGTTTCAAGCCCGTCTTTGACTTGCTTCGGAGGAGGTTGAGCAGCCCAAGGATCATACGCTCCGCTCGTCTTGACTGCTTCGCTGAGGCCAAAAACCGTGCTTCCGGATGCGTACTCCGATGGATCCAATATACTATTGAATGGTCCTTTACGAGGTCTTTTGGCAACCCTTAACATTCTCTCTTTGTCTTCTCGAGTAATCGCTGCCTTTCGCTTCGTCGAACCTGACGACGTCCGTGAAAAGACAGCAGGGACAGCCGAGCGCTGCGCAAGGATTTTTGAAGAAGTCAACTGAGCGGTAGAGTACCGTGGAAGGCTTTTTCGAACTGGATAGAGAACGTCAGGCTTTGAAGAGAGGAAAAGAGAAGATTCTCACTTTGCTCATCTCCTTTTACATCAATCTGGAACAAGTCGGTATCTGATGTTTTTTGAAGCGACTTTCTAAAGAAATTTTCAGGAAAATATAGACAGCATCTGGAAACAGGACATACCCAATCACTCTTTCCTCCGCTCTCAGTCCTTCCAATCTCTCTTCAAGGTCTTCGATGTTGACATTTTTTCTCCAGGATTTCTTTCCCTTCCGGCTGGACTGATTGTGTTGCGAGGGCGCTCCAAGAGTCGACCGATTCGACTTGCGTTTTTGAGATAATGTGGAGGACATATCCGTTGATAAACGAAGGGTAACACAAGTTGTAGAAAACTTGGTGTAAGCAGGCATCTCGGGTTGATGCGGTGAATCAACCACATTCCCACGCTACGAGAGATTTGAGAGGCTCATCCTTGGCTCAGATCGCAATACCGTATTTGTTTTATGTTTTTGTAATGGGGTACAGTGCTGAGTGGAAAGCTATGGATGAGTGAACAGAGAGACAGTCCATGATGGCTGAACAGCCCAAGTCTCACTATAATCTCGTCAAAGAACATCTCAATTTATGGAACGAGTTTATACCTTTGATATTCAAAGCATATTCAAGTACCTCAGAATCTCGAACCCATTCAATTTCTAATCAGGACGTTTTTGTGGCAAGCACGCTCGATCATCTGTGATCGGGAATTCCCACACGTGAACACTGCCTAAACAAATGGCTAGTCAGGGTCCAAAGTTCAAAAGCTCAGCCCCCCGACGGAACAACAACTGAAAGTACATTTTAATTGAGTGCAAAAGAATGGACACTAAGGGAATTGAACCCTTGACCTTCTGCAAACAAATACAAACATGCGTGAACAAATGCAAAGCAGACGCGCTACCCCTGCGCTAAGCGCCCTTCGCACTATGTGTTCCACAAAATAACCTAGAGTCTACTCACTCAGTTGCCGGCCATATTATGGAAGCACAGCGTACTCGCCTCAGCCTGTGTTTGCCGTCTGAATGCCCACCGTGTAATGTCCACCCATTTGCTCTTCCCCACTGTGGAAGTCCGTGGTTTGTGGCAGGGGTTCAATTTCTGTAACTGTTTTTGAGTGCGACGCTTACGCTTCTTCGTCTCTTCCTGCATGTACTTGAGCTTTTGCCTCATATGCTTCCTTCTCCTCTCGAGCAGCCTCAATCCTCATCTGGCAAGCCTTGACAACCTCAGCAAGAGACTTGCGAGTCTCGTCTTCAACAAATGCCGCAACCTCCTTGCGCTTCTCTTCGGCTTCCATGCGCTTACTCTCAACAATCGTAGCGGTCTCCTCTTTTGCATGTCGAGAAGTTTTTGCTCCTATATAATATCCCAGTACCGCTTGACTTCGGTAACCTTGGCTCGCATGAAATGATAGTGAGCAAACGTCAGTTGGTTGATGTCCTTGGTAAGCAGATTCGCGTATTCAGGCTCATCGACCACCTTGGTAACATCTTCTTCCTCAACAGGAGTTTGTTCTTTTTCCCCCTGAAAGCTATGCGGGAGGGCCGTCAGATGCAAACTCAAACCGAGAGGAAAGCATACAATGTACATACGGGGGCCTGCGTTGTCTTGCTCCATCATAACATCATCTTCAAAAGAGCCCTTTTTCGTACCCTTCTTGGAGGCTACACAGAGGGCCGTCGGATCGAAACTTAGACCGGGAGGAACGCACACGTACGAGGCGCGTCGTCCTTGCCTTTCTTGGTGCTGCCTATATGCGGTTGATCAATACGCGATCGCAGAAAGTTGGATACCCGGGAGGGTGACCGCGGTTAACGACAACAGGGGAAGACTCGGAAGAAGACATACCAGTTGAACGGATAGAAAGAGACAAGCAGCGGTGGGAGGAGGGGGGAAGGGATTTTAACTGCAGGGGGACAGTCACAGCTCACGGGAGGGACGAGGATAAATACCGCGTCACGTCGCATCCAGATACCCCTACCCATGCCTCGCGCTTTCGATGCAAATGACCAAGACGCATGCAAGAATATGGTCCTCAAAAAAGCAAAGTTTGTACACGGCAACTGTTTCAAGAAGATGCTGGAACGCGAAATCTACGCAATCAATATGTGGATGACCGTGCCCTCCCAACGCATGGAAGGTATCACCATTGGCCAAATCTGGCACGCCGACCTTATCCAAGAGCATATATTGATCTTTCTCTACTACGCGGCAAGTAATGACTCATTAGTACAAAGCGCGACACTAACAAATCGTCTTCAGGTAGACGCAATGAAACCGCTGAGGGGGTACAGTGTCATACGCTCATCGTCTTTGGGGTCGGTGCTTGTCTCCCTTGTGGCTCCGATCCGATAATACTCACAGCCAAAAGCCACGAGCTGCTCACATTTGGCGGGCTGTATAACAAGCTTCAAGCCCATTTAATCAACAGTAAGCAACTTTCGGCCCCATATCAGTGCATCATCCAAAATTCGCACAAAGTCGCAGACTTCAGCCCGCTGAAGTGAGCGACACTGAGCATATGACATAGACTCTTTCGTTCTCCCGGCCAGACACTGTTGATATAATAAAGTACTAAATGTCCCTGTTCTGAATTAATTTGACATTAGTGTAGGCTAGCTCGTAAACGAACAGGACCAACTGCTTGCCTCTTGTCTCCTCTATATGATCTCCTGTCGATGCGATTCAAAACCCTGTCTGATTATAATTTGTGATGTTTTCAATATATTTTCTTGGTCTGCACAATGGAGACCATATCACTTGGCTAGGTCGAGTAACAGGGTCGCATCGGATTCTCGTCGCGATACCTGGAGATTATCGAACGCTTTGGCGCATACGGTAACTCTGCAACTCACACTGTCCGCTCATGCGCAAGCCATCGCCATCACTCGGAGAAGCTAAAAATAGATAGCCCTTCTTTGACGAACCCCATCAAGTCGGAAAGCTACCCTTGGGAACTCCCATTCAATCACTATTATATGTACTCCACTGTCGTCAGCAACCAGGACGCCCTCTGTGATATGATGTTTATCATTCTGACTAACTGTGTGGAATTTCGCGCGGACGCGCATAATAACAGAACCACTATTATTAATAGTAGTATTATAAAAATCATATTGCGCCAGTTGGACCACGGGAGACTAACCTTGTAATCCAAGCCATAATCAGCACTTCCTTCGACATTGAAGTGACCAACATAACATGGGCATCCTTGCATACTCGTTGGGCGCCCTGCTGTTTCTCGGATTCCTTCGTCTTCTAAGAGGGCGAAGACATCTTCCGTACCCGCCAGGCCCTCCAAAGAAGTTCTTCTTTGAAAACGCTTCCGACTTCCCTCGCAAGGCGCTGGGACAAGTCTTTACGCAATGGGGCAGAATGTACAACAGTGAGTAGCATTCGATTTCAAGAGTTTGGATGTACTTACACATCAATTCAGGCGACATCCTTCATGCGTGTGCCTTTGGACGCCATCTCATTGTGATCAACAATCGAGATATTGCAGAAGATCTATTCGAGCGGAGAGCCTCACTTTATAATGATCGTCCATGGGTTGCAATTCTTCCCCTGTAAGTGGTTTGGTACTGTGTCTCCGCTCGTTACATAATAGTGTTTCTACAGGCTCGGCTGGGAATTCAACATTTCTTTCCTAGCCTACGGAGAGACTTGGCGCCAGCACCGGAGAGTTTGCCAACAATATTTCCATCCAGAAGCTGCCATGCAGTACTACCCGATCCAGCTCGAAAGAACACGACAGTTCTTGAACAGCATGTTGCAAACGCCAGAGAAAGCCTTTGATCACAGCAAACAGTAAGTCATAGTGTTCGTCTCGACCGAACTTACTCAATTAGTATCACAGGTTATCTGTATCTATCACCCTAAAAATGATGTATGGTTATACTCCTAAATCCCTCAACGATCCTGTGGTGAACGCTGCGGATGAGAGCACGGCTCTTGGCCTCAGCCTCATCGTGTTTGGGTCCTATATTACCTTTTTACCAATACTACGGTTTGTCCCCGCTTGGGTACCTGGCACCTATGCCGTTAATGCAGCCAAGAAAGTTAAGCAGTTGACTCAAGACATGCAGCGTCTCCCAATGGAAGGTCTTGAAAACTCTCTAGTGAGCTGAAACCATCGTGATCTGAGAACTACTAACGCCCAAATATCTTCAGAGAGATGGTATACCTGTGACGCAATCTTTGATGAACGATTTCCTCGAGAAAAAAGCAACGTCTGGTGCAACTGAAGAAGAAGAGAAGATATTTAATAATGTTGCTTGGACAACCTATGGAGGTATGAGATCACTTTGTTGTTTGGAGTATTTTCTGATCGTCGTTTTCTGTAGCTGCGTCAGATACGGCATGTATCCCAGGTTACTCTCTTATTTTTCACCTCTAACCACTTAACAGACAATAGCAGCTACTGAATCTCTCTTTTACTTGATTGTTCTTCATCCAGGCGTTCAACGGCGAGCTCAGGAAGAGATCGATCGAGTGGTTGGAAAAGATCGGCTTCCGGATTTCAATGATCGCCCATCGCTCCCTTACATCGAAGCCATTTATCGCGAACTTATGAGGCACAGTCCTCCACTTCCGACAGGTGTACCCCACGCATTAATGGAAGATGATACTTACAATGGTTATTTCTTGCCCAAAGGTTAGAATATCTAGATTTTTAGGCATTACTGGTGATTGACATACGTAACCCCAGGCGCCTCCGTAATGAGCAACATCTGGGCCATGACACGAGATGCAGAAATATATCCAGACCCAGACGCGTTCAAGCCTGAACGTTTCTTGAACAAAGACGGCAAGTTGAACGACGATAGCCGTATTTTGGCGTATGGATTTGGAAGACGGTGCGTCCAGATGCTCGAGAGTAGGCGATCTCATATTTAACAAAGCTTCCTTCATTAGCGTATGTGTTGGAAAAGCGGTGGCAAGTTCAACGGTCAGTTTACCTCCGGGGTGCTGAGATCTTCTAAGCTTATTGTTCTTTCAGATGTGGTTGACCATCGTGTCACTCCTCGCTTGCTTCGACTTTACCAAAGCCCGGGATGAGTTTGGTAATGAGATAGAAGTAAACGACGAGTATGATGATTCAAACCCATCCATACGGTTCGCCTTACACTCCTCTTACTTTGTTTACTTCTGCTAAACTCTTTACAGACACAAAAAGCCATTTCGTTTTGCGGCCAAGGTCCGCTCAGATCAAGCCCGTAGATTAATTGAAGAAAATATCGTTAATTAAAACAAAGAAAAACTTGATACAGTCGTATATACTGGGCTTCTTGTGTGTGTATATAGGTTTTATTAGTTTTCGATGAGTTGCCTCTTGATTTACTCACTGGCTCAAAGTAAAAGTGCAGCGGGCCGGTGTGCATCCACTGCCGTGGAACTTCCAAGGAGTCGAGCTGCCTTTCGACCTCACCGTGTCATTACTCTTTCCCTCCTTTCAATTACCGCGCTCGGATGAATTTGGGATTAGGATATACTCGCAACTAGTCTATACAATTGGCCACCCTTAAACAACGTCTCAGTGACCTTGTGCGTCATGCTCGACACACTCCCTCCAGAACTCCTTCACGAGATAGTGGACTTTCTCGACAATAATGAACTTTTGCAACTCGGGCTTACCTGCAGAAGTACCCATGTAATAGCACTGTCTACATTCTTCAAGAGAAACGATATTCGAGAGCCAGGCGACGGATGGTTGGTTGCGTACAAGACTCCTCCAGAGACACTTGCGGCGATACATGCCGCTGACTGGGTTAAAAATCTACGCCAGATTCATTACTACCTTAACCCAGGTGTAGACCGTCTCATGTCAGAAGCTCGCGATCTCAACCGCCTCGTCCGAAGCTTGCCCAAAATCGAAATCGTCAAACTGCACTTTTCGGTAGTGGATTCGTGGGCATCGG